TGGCACAAAGCCCGAGCGCTGCTCCCGCAGCGAGGGCCGGCCAGGCCGAGGGCAATTGCTGTGAGGGAATGGGGATGAGGCAGAGCTGGGAGCCAGCCTGGGCTTTATGGAGCATTTTGGTGTATTAGGGAGGATAAATTACCAGAAAGCCCAAGGCTTCCTTTCCAGATAAAATGTTGACCTTCATTCCCTTCCATCCTTTTGTCAGAGGTAAAGCAATAGTCATATGAGCAGAGATTTGCTTTATTCAAAACCAGATGTGCTATTAATTTGTTTATCTGCAGTAATATCAGGTAATTGTCACTGTAGTCTCTTGCAGGGTTTGCATACCCGGGGGGTGAGGGTCGGTGTGTGACCCTAGGGCAGCTCAGGGAACAGCAAACTGGGGCTCTCCCAGTGCCAGGGGAGATTTACAGCTTTGGTACTGCTGAGAGAGTTCTCCTTTTGAGAATCTGTTCCCTAAAAACCCATGGACTTCACCCATATGCAAGAGGTGATGGATTAAATCAGTTTTCCTACTCGTTCTTAGTTCAGAGTGTGGGAACAGTATTAAAAGAAATCTCGTAGTTGTGAGAGGAGCTTGTAATTTAATTCCATGCCATTGGAAATATGGATTGTACTAATCCCCACGTAGGGAATGACATACAGCAACTAATGTTATTGAATAGTAGTTCCGAATCATATAAGTTCCTTGCCTTGGCAGGTAATTTGACATAAATTGTTAATGTAAATCCAGGTTAGTGGGGAAGACATTATTTTACTAAAAAAGATAAACTGCTGATTAATTCAGTATAGAACTCAATTACAAATTGAAAGTGTCTCTGCGGGATGCCAGTACCCTAAAGACAGCAGATGTTGAATTGATACTCCAGCATATTTCACCCTGGTATGAAATATTAACGTGGTTTATTATACTGGTGTATGATATCAGAGAGGGGGTGGGGATGAGCCTGGGCTCACAGGCAGCTTCCTTGGAACAGGGAAAAAAACTGTTGTCTCTGAGAATAATAATTAGGGACTAGAGAGCAGTTTGTTTGGAAAGTTCTTACTAGAAAATGGTTAGAAAAATAAACATTTACTGAAGCTTTAGTCACAATGAAGCTGACATAAAATGCATAGGTCTAATATGAAAAACCAAGAAATAAGAGACAAGGAATGTCATTCCTTGCTTCTGAGGCAGCCCTGGGAATGCACACTTTTTGGGGGGAAGACTTGTAATTCTGAGTGGTTTGAAGGTCACAGCCCATTTCCAGCACAGTCCAGCCAAATCCATTCTGACTGCTGGAGCCTTCCAACCTCCCCCTACAAGGAACACAAAGTACTTCTCAGATTTGTTCTCCCTGGACTTAGAGCAGACCTGAGCATCTCTCACAGTTATGGGCTGATCTCCACCCCACAGCCCCCACACAGCCTCTCACACCCCGTGCTCTGCTGATTGCTCTCCCAAAGTCTAATTATGCTTCTGGAGGTGATTTTGTCCTTCAGGAGGTATTGCTTTCCTACCTCCAAATTCCCAACACTTCTTTATGGATTTATTTTTTTATTATCATTGTCTTTCCTGAAGCTTGTGATTTTTTTTCCTTCCCTTCTCTTCCCATAGGAGTCTTGGGGATTCTCACTTTAAGTAGGATCAACTTTTTATAGTATATAATTTGAGCATATTTCATTGTTTTAAAGGACTGCTGTGATGAGTATTTACATTTGTTTATTTTTACAAAAATAGTTACCTGCTTATATTCATGTTATACAAATATTGATAGTGCACTGCATTTGAAATTCTTCTAAGAATTGCTGTTGGAGAACTGCACTGTGTGTATTGCATCTCTGACAGCATCCTGGTGACCTGCAGAAGGGATTCATATTGTTTTGGTAAGAATTAGAAAAAAAAAATAATTTCTAGAGCTTTTACATCTGAAAAAGGCATTTCCTGTTTAACTTGCTTGTGGAGCCACAAAATGTTGCAGAAATAATGTTCCCAAAGCCCTTCCAGCTGCTCCTTTTGCTGCTGGAGCAAAATGATAAACTTGTTTACAGGCTATTAGTAAAGACAGTATTAATGTAATGTAGAAATACCCTCATCTCCTGTAGGAAAGTCTCTTTTTTCCTCTAGTAGCACTTGAAGTCTGGAAATTGCTTAAGAGAAACTTGGTTCAAGTCATATACAAGAATAATGTGTAAAAGTTGCTCCTGGGTGCTGTGTGGGACTGGCGGCAGAGCAGCTGTGAGAGGTAATCCATCAGCCCTGAGTGTCTGCAAACTGCAACTCTCCAGATAACAGGTTTAAAGTAAAGATTTAATACAGCCTCTATCTACTGTGATGTTGCAGTGACAGTTTAAAACTCATTCTCTAAATCTCAGCAGACTTTATAGCCAGCAGTGGGCCCATATAAAGCTTAATGGCATTACAACACATAAATCATCTTTTAAAGACGCTACCAGTAGCGCCAATATTAAATGCAGACAATTGTCTGTGTTATAAATAATTTATCAAACACCGTTTCAGATTAGCCTTCCATGCTGAGTTATTTATTTTAGCCTTTACTGCCCTATTCCTCAGGCACCCTTTGGAAGCTCTGTGCCTGGTCAGTGTAATGAACTGGGGTCTGTTCCCCCAGCACAGCTGTGGTGACCATTACCATGGAGCTGGACCTCGCTGCCTTTGCCAAGCGCTGCCCATTTGTCAGGCGAGGTAAATGGAGCTGCACATTGGAGTCCAGGGACACATTGTGGGCTGTGATGGGGACAGACAGATCGCTCCATAAAGTGCTGCTTGTCACTGCTCGCTGCCCCTACAGTTCATCACTCGCTGTAATCTCATTTAAGGAGCACTCTGGGCCCCACAGGAGGATATTCCCAGTTAGCTTGGTCTTTGCAACCATAAAGCAGGAAGTGCTCCTTTTATATACTCTGAACTTTTAGGGTTTTTTAAGATTAATTATTACAGTGGCTCATTGAGGCCCTGTACTTCAGACTGTGTCAGCAGTTTCCTGCTAGCCCCCTATTTTGTGACTGGAAACAGCAGTCCTTGCTGAACTCCATGCAGGATTTTTCTTGTGGCTGTCCTGGCCAGCTTTCTAAATTGTAAAAAGAAGATCAGGAAACAGCACCAAGGCAGGGTTTTCTAAAATGACAATTCCTGCAGGTTCACAGACTGGGCTGCACTCTGGCAGTGAAGGAGCTGAGGTTACAGCCTGGGCTCTCTGTGCAGTGGCTGCCTCAGTGCACTTACAGCTCTGCTCTACTGATTGACCTTTAATGAGTATTTTTAGAATTATTTTGATAACAGTAGGTTCATAGAGTACATTTTTAAAAGCAAATATATTTTAAATTAGAAGAGTCTGTGAGATTTACTGTGTTGTCTTAAAGATGAAATTAAAAGGAAGAATGGCACAGACCTCCCCCAATTTGCTGTAGTATTCCTAAACTGTTTTTCTTACACTAACACTCATGTAGCTTAAAATTATTCTGGTTTTGCTACCACTTAATTTTTAGAACAGATCTACGCACACTTCTTTGATTCATTTTATTTACTTGCACTATAGTACTAAAATACCCTTAGTCTGCAACAAATCAGTCTTTTATCAGTTGAGTGAGGAATTACTTGCTTATCATGGTTTTATTGCCAAAAACACTGAAGAAAAGGTACAGGAATTATTTTTACAGCATGGCTGTATTGTTCTAGTCAGCTTAGTAGGAAGCATAATTTATTTTTTTTTATTTTATAAAGAGTAATAGTGGTAGAACTGGGAGTGAAGTAGGAATTGCAGCTGTTTCTGTTGTTCACTGCAGGGCGTGTCCTGCTCCAGTCCTGTGCCTGCTGCACGACCTGGGACAGAATGGGTCCAAACGTCTGGGTGCAGGGATGTGCTGCTGATTTATCATTGCTGTACTGGAGCAGGCAGTGTTTGCAACCAGTTCCTTACACACCCTTGAGAGAAGGAAGGGTCTCAGTGCTTTGGGCTGGAGAGGTGCTGGAAGCCCAGTGTGTGCACATACATGTCTGTATCTCCGTGGGCACAGCCTGCTTTCCTGGCACGGTGCCACTGGCAGCTCACCGGGCACAGGAACAGGCTCAGTGCAGCTGAGGAGCAGGACGTGCCCTCGCTGGGAGCTGCAGAGGGAGCCAGTGCCACTGGAATGACTCGGGAAGGCTCAGTGCCACCAACACTCTATTCCTGATGCCTCACAGCAATACCAGTCGTGGTTTTGTGGTGGTGGTGAGAATGTGATGATCAGAGGTCGGGTGTGATATTCTGCTGGATAGTTAGATGAACCTGAAATGTTTCCATGTAAAAGACACTCCTGTGGATGTTGTTTGTGTAGGGTGGGCTCTGTTGCACTCTGGTTCAGGCTGTTTCAGGTCTAAATAGTAACTCTGTTTCAGTCACATCCATTACTGTAGCAAAACTTTTTTTTTTTTCTTAAATAGTAAAAACTAATTGCAGTATTTTGACAGCAGTACTTTGACCAGTGTTTTCAGCAGGTTTCTTTAAATTCTCTGCATTTGTGCTCAGGACTGGAATTACAGCTGTTCTCCAGCTCAGCTCTGTGCAGAGCTACTCCATCCCAAAGCTTGTGTTAGGATGAGCAGATGAATTTTGCAAACCAAGCCATGCTGCAAAATCATAGGAATAATTTTGGTGCTATAAAGGCTGATTAAATAGCCCTGACCTGGGGAAGCCTTGTACCTGAACTCCAGTGACTCTAATGTGTGTGCAGCTGTCACACAAGACAGGCAGCTGGAATGTACATGTGCACAAAAGCCTGGAAGTTAAAAATGGTAAAATTTATTTTCTCCATTCATTAAGACAAAAAAAATAAAAATCTGAGTTTTGCTTCCCACATGTCTTTAGCAAGTCTGATCCATCCTGGGGGTGGTGGAGCACGGGCAGGATAAAGGGTTGTCCCTGGACAGCCCCCCTGTTCATGCCCTGTGGCACTCTGGTGATGGTCCTGGGAGCTGCCAGCCCTGGGCAGTGACAGCCTGTGAACTGTTGCAGGAGGAGGAGGCCAAGCAGCTGGTGAGAGACGCCATCGCAGCCGGGATCTACAACGACCTGGGCTCCGGCAGCAACGTCGACATCTGTGTCATCAGCAAGAACAAGCTGGACTTCATCCGGCCCTACGACGTGGCCAACAAGAAGGGGGACAGGTGAGTGACCCTGAGGCTGTGTGTGATCCCTGCTCTGCCCAGCGAGTCCTGCTTTTGCCAGAGAGATCTCTGACCTGTGGGTGGATTGCAGCTGAGCAGAACCAACGAGTGGCTGTACCTGCAGCTGAACACAGGCTGGCAGAGGCACATGCAGAGAACAGGGCAAGTTCTTCCCTGCCACAGTTTTACCAGGCTCTTGAGTTTTGGGCAGTTTGAGGAAGTAACAGAGTTTTGTCTTTGCTGCCCAGACCACTGATTTCTGTAAAGACCTTTCCAGTTATGTGGCAATTTATTTTTATTTTTTTATTTTTTTTTTGTAATCAGAGTTTTCTGAACTTGCTGGTTTATCTGAAACTTTGTCAGTTAGTGCAGTCAGCTTAGACTTTGCAGTAGGCACAGTTCTTTACTTATTCTGGACTTTTGTAGGAAACTTCTAAAGGTGATCAGTTCTAAAACTCTCAGGCACATGGTGTGACTCTTGGGGATGGTCCTGTGCAGGGCTAAGGGTTGGACCTTGTGGGTCCCTTCCAACTCAGCATATTCTGTGTGATTCTGTGATTCTGTAAAATTTAAATGCAAGTTTTCCCATGTATCATCTTCCTGACCAATTTTCCCCCATTTCTTTCCCAGGTTTGGCAGGTACAAGTGTGCAAAAGGAACGACTGCTGTTCTCACAGAGAACGTGGCTCACCTGGAGCTCGAGGTGCTGGACGAGACCGTGCAGACCATGGACACGTCCTGAGCTCCGACTGTGGCTCTGTCTGGCCCAATAAAGAGGCTCTGCCCCCTCCCTGTCTGTGGCTGGTCCTTCCTGCTCTGTCCAAGGTGAGGCTCGAGCAGCAGAGCTGCAGCAGCTCCGTCCTGCAGGGCTGGGGCTCTGAGAGCTCTGTGGGCGAGGGCAGGGCAGAAAACCAGCTGCCTTGTTACCTCACTCCAGGAGCAGAACAGCAGGAGTAAAGCTGCTCTCTGTACGCCCCATTGGACAAGTTCTAATTTAATAGAATGTTCTTTTCCTGATGGAAACAGGAAAAGGTATAAAAACAATGAGCAGTGGTGGTTCTGAACCCTTGACCTCCAACAGGCACTGCTCTCCTGCCACCCCACTGCAGGGAAGGAACTCTGGGCATCAGGGGATGTTTCTGTTATTTTTGCCCCATTTTCTGTAGGTAGAGACAGGATACAGGGCAGATCCAGCATCATTGTTTGACTGTCTTGTCACTTACCTCCATTTACACCTGGAGGTGCTGGGCTTGTACCACCTGAGTTAATGAGATTTCAGACTGTTTCATACAGCACTACATAGTCCTGATAAAAACCAGCCAGAAGAACCCCCTACAGAATTATTTTTCAAGTGAAAAGGGGAGGTGTAGCATTGACAGGCAGCTTCAAAAGGTGGACTGGTGCCAGTCCCCAGCCTTGGCATCCTGCAACAACGATCCTGGAAAACCAGCTCTGATATGCCACAGTTCAAAGGGTAAAGACTCTCGTGGTTTTCCCTTGGGACAAGTGACAGTCTCTCTCCATTTGTTGGAAAAGCAGCTACACTCCACAGCTGGTAGGAGCAGTTTCACACATATTTAGGCCTGTTTTCAGGGGTGTGTGTGTATTTCCTTTAATACTGCACTTTTTAGTTTTTTAAACAAAGATGTTTATTTTGGAAATAATTTTTTTTATTTATCTAAAAATGCACAATTGCAAAAAATTACCTTTTGAAATACATTTCCTTATAAGCACTAAGAAATCTTATGTAGCAAGAAAGTGACCAGACTTCTCCAGATCCTCATCTGTGAGCTGAGCTTCCCTGGAAGCCACGGATCCTTTTCCAGCCCGACCCTCCCTCTGGCCATGGAGCTGCAGCCCCGGCTCAAGGAAAGCTGCAGTGCAAGGGGACAGGTTCAGGTCACACCTGACAAGTGCTCGAGAGGTTGGGTATAAATTAACCAAGCTGGTTGGCACGGGAATGGTGGGAGCAATTTGGTGCCTCCACGATGATTTAAATTTCCTGACTCTCTCCTGAGAGCAGTACCCTCAGCTTTCTGCTGAGAAGCCTCAGTAAAATGGCACCTTGCATTAATGATGCCAACCTTATTCACAGCAATTAATGGTTTTTCTTGGTACCCTATAAAAACATTCCCAAATTTGCTACGAAGTAGCTGAAGACGGCACTGCGGTTTTCCTTTAAGTAGAGTAAATTAGGTTAAAAAAATCCACTAAAAGCATATATATGTATGTAACCCTCTAACCCTAATCTTAGTTCAAAAACAATTAAGGATTGTAAGCTTTCCTTAAAAAAAAAAACAAACAACCAAAAGGCGGCACAGGCTGCATTTGAACTGTCACACACAAGGGTACAGTCGGCACGAGCCCCCGGCACACGCGGAGCCGGCGCTGGAGCAGCACAGGCTGAGGGGTTTCCTCAGGAACACCGAGCACAGCCCCGCTCCTCCGACAGGCACATGGAATGGAAACACTGGAACGTGAATCCAGGGCTGTTCCTGAAGCAGTGAATATTTCCATCGGCAGTAATGACACAAATCATTGATTCAATGAATGAATTTAGCTGTTGACAATTTTCATGCAGTTAGAGACGATGACTCCTTCAGATCAGGTTGAGATTTATAGACATTCACATTCTGTAATGAGCTTTCACAGTTTGAGGGACGGGGCTGATCCTATGCAGAATTCCATACACAAAGCATTTCATTTATTTTAAAAAAATTTTCCAAGTGTTTAAAACACTGCTGAAGTTCCACTGATAGTACCCGATGTACTATTGAATGTGTAAAAGTCTCTGCACCAAAATCGAACTGGCTTCGATCAACACTGGTTTTAAACAAGAACCTGGAGGCTGAGAAGAGCCATTCCAAAAGGGAAAATGAGGGTAAGGAGCAATTCTCTGCAGGAGCAAGGCTGGTTTGGGTTTGCTTGGCATGTTTGGCTTCTTTTCCCCAGGTTCATGTTTAACTCACCTCTGACAGAAATGCATCAGCAAAATACACAAAGTTTACAATTTAAAAAAAAAAAAAAAAAAAAGCCCAAAGTGTTTCCCACCCCCCAACCCTTCCCAGTTTCTAAGTCTGAAGAGGAGGGAATTAATAAAAACACATAAATGGCTGCTTTAAAATACACCAAGTAAAAACTGAATTTGCTATTAACCATTTGCAGAAGAGGCAAAGTAGCAGTTATACAAATTACACAAAATCTATGGTAATTCTTACATTAGTATAAAGTGATTTCACTGAAGGAATTATTTCAATATTTCACATTACAGTTAAGATAGAAGGTCTGGCACAGGCCGAGCCCTCGGTAATATCGGCTATCCTAGATTACACACGACAGTTTGAAGAAAGGACCCTTAAATGATCTACATCCGTAACGTTATTGGCCTTAAAAATAAAAAATAAAAGAATCACTTGCAATACCTCACAGAATCTTCACGTTAAAGCAACGACCACCTGTAAGAGTCCTTGTCAAATAACCTGCAAATGATGGAGCCTCTGCTGCGAGTGCTCACCCTCCCACCTGTGTGAGCTGCACCAGGCGCCGGCAGCGGAGAAAAGGATTCAAGTAAGACTGAGCTGTGCTGGCGCCGCGGCCGCTCATGTGCTCGAGGTCCACACGTGCATCTGTTTGGCTATTTGGTGCACGTAACCGATGTCGGGCCGCTGGTCTGGGTCGGGGTATATGCACATGCTGACCAGTTCCCGCAGCTGAAAGACAGGACAGGAGGCAAAGGGGAATGAATCCACTGCTCTCTGACTGGGAGAGGCTGCAGATCGTCTGCCCGAGCTCTGCAGGCCAGGCCAGAGCTGGGAACCTCTTCATGCAGATGCTGAGCAGGGTGCAGGCACATGACTGTCTGTGTGTGTGTCCCACCTCCAGATGGGCCAGAAAGAACCTTTCCCACCAAATCTTCGCTGAAAATTTAAATCTTCCCACAGCCCAGCACATCTCACATCCCAGAGGAGCAGAGGGAGCCCGGCCCAGGAGGACCCAGTGTGTGCACCCAGGGCTGGGGGAGCAGCACGGGGCAGAGGGAGGGAGGCACCAGTGGCACTGGCAGGGTGTGGATGAAGGAGGGAAAACAAGATCACTACCACAGTGTGCCTGAGGCAGCAGGCAGGGAGGGACCTTCCAGTGGAAGGGGGCTCTGAGGGAAGGGGGAGCCTGAGCCGAGCTCCCCGTACAACAACTGCTCTGCCCTTCCCACACCAACCCTGGCACCAAACCCTCCAAGCCTTCGAGTGTAACCAGTCTGACCAGCACTTGAGCATCTTAAGCTGTTGGACCCGGCTGTGAGACCCTGGTGTTTCCTAAAACCTTCCTGAAGAAGAGAGAATGGTCACTGATTATGTTTAAATAAATAAAATGCAGAAGGCTGGAGTCTCCCCACCTCCCAACCCTCTTTATTGTGCACATGAAAGATTGTAGCTTTTAATTATACAGACACTGAAAGCTGCTCGTACCCCCGAGGCACCAGGAGAAACAGCCTTGAGCCTCTGATCTTCTCACATCCTCCCAGTAGCCACAGTGCCAATTATTTTAGCAGTAATTAAAAGCATGACCATACAGCTATCAAGCACACAGCTTCAGCTGCATTAACTGAATGTGCTTGAGGTTTTCAGCTCTGGATGGAGCAAGGCTCCATCCTTGCTCCCACCCCAAACCCGCTGCCTGGCCTTGCCCTGGTGACTTTTTTTGACCTGAGGGCAGGGATGCTGCTGCCTTTGTAACCCCGAGACCCTGAAGGTTTAACACACCCCTCATCAGCCAAGATCACCACAAAACTCCCACCAACAAATTAAAATGCTTAGAGCTCAGCCCAAGGCTGTGCCATGAGGACCATTGGCCCAGCCAGGAGCTGTGCAGCACTGGAGCAGTTCTGTCCTCACAGGCATCTCAGCAGCACCCACAGCACCGGCGGCTGAGCCTGATGGGCACTGCCAACCCTCAGCTCCAGTTACAGCAGAGCTACTCCCAATATAGAAAACCAGTCCTGGCCCCAGTCCCAGCTCCTCCTCCTGCTACCAGCAGCACACAGTTGCTCACAGGAGGATCTGGACTGAGAGCCACAAAAGGCCACAGAGAAGAGGAATCACCACGAGAGCCGGGGTTCTGCCCCAAATGCTCTGCCTCGTTCTCTGAACCAATCTCCAAATCTCTACCACACTGCTGCTGATGGTGCAGCCCCGTTCTAACCCTCACAGGACTGGAGCTGTTTGCTGTTTCCCTGAGCAGGGCAGAGGAGCTGCAGCCACAGGCACGGCCTCTCCAGCATCCCGTGGACAGTGCAGGAACCATCTGGAGCCGAGTTCTCTGGGACCCGGCGCTTGGAGCTGCAAACCAACCTCACCCCGCACCAGCACTGCACTACACACACTCTTTAGCACTGCCAGAGGGAAGCAAACAGACAGTAATTGTACAGACAGGAAACACATCTGTCAGCTTACACTAATTCCTGCTGCCAGCAGGCATATCCTGAGTGCAAGAGCTGCAGCAGCTCGGCAGAGGGACCGCGCGGGGCCGGGGGGGGAAAGGCAGAAATGCACTTTTGCAGACTAGAGCTCAAAGCATCGTTTTGCATGAGATCCCTGGCAAGTCAAAACGAAGCAAAACACAACGTGTAGCGTGGGGCCCCTCCCAGGGTGGAGACCAGACCGGCTGCTCCCGGCTGCACACGGTATTTCCCAGGCATCCTGCCTCGCTCCTCGGGACTTGGAGGGGGAGTAAAACAAAAGCCCCACAGGATACAGTGAACATTTAAAATTCCATTACCCATTTCCTTTCAAATAGGAG